GCATGCACGTTCTGCAATGGGTTCGGCATCTTTTGAACATATATAGAAGCATGTTGTTGGCATTCTTGGCCAAATAATATATTTACCAGTCGAATAGTTTAAATTCAATGCATAAGTTCAAGTTATGCAATGAACTTGCATTACAATTTACATGTGCTTAGAAGCAATCCCCAACAATATTATGAACCCTGGAAAAAGGTTTCATCCTCATCATCATTATCATTTCAAATTTTGTACTTGCACATTTAATTAGTTAATATAAAATTTTTGTTTGAGATGTGTTAAATGATTCAAATTAAAAATTAATAATATTATAAATAAATAATGTATATTTATAGATGCAATAATATCAATCGGTTCAAATTATTTTTATATAATATTTAAAAAAGTTTTTTAATTATTTAAAAAAAATTATATTTTTTATTACATTTAAACAAACATTTATATTTTTGTTTAGAGTTTATAAACTTTTATAATTAATGTTTGATTAAATATTATGAATTAAAATATTATTTATTTTAATATTTTATATCAATGTGATATAATTTTATATTTATATAACATTTTCATATTTTATATCAACGTTACGTTAATAATAAAATAATATATAATTAATAGTGAATTATAATATTTTATTTTAATTTAAAATAAAATATAAAAATTTTATTTTATTTTTTAAAAATAATTGAAAAACATTTTAAAATATTATTTTTTTATCGCTAAATTGTAATCAATTACGTGCTTAATTATTAGGTTCTAATAATTATTAAAGAATTCTCCTTGATTGGACAACCTTCTTTTTTTTTTTTGACTCGAAAACATATAATCAGTTTTAATTAATGCTAAGTCCCCACCAAACAGAGGATAACAAATTATATGAGAGAAAGTTACAACCAAACTTTCACCTTCTTCTTCTTTTTACCCTGTGACTGACATAAAGAGAGAAGAAATAGACCCCACCATAGCAATCCTTATCTTAATGTTTAATATATCATGTCATTGATCCTGGTTCTAGGTTACCAGCAGACACGTCCATGCGGTTGAGACCAAGAGAATATCTTACTTTTTCGTTTGATTAAGCAAAATAATCCATCATTTGCACTCTTTTTTTTTCTCTTACAAATTAATTTCTCACAACCCCTGATCAATGCCCATAATTTGATACACTGAAACTGGCTCAGAAAAATTTTTAAAAAAATTATAAAAAGAAAAAAAAAATGGAATGGCCCTCATAATATCTTAGTGTCCCTCTATTATTCAATTATATGGACAAAATTTAAGAAGCTGTTTGGAATTTCCCATAGTACTCCTGATCTTGCATTCGTACATTTGTCCAAAATTTTAATATACAATGTTGCCAAAAGCCCAACCATGGCATTACCACATAATCCGTGTGTATGTGACAAATTTCACCGATACAGTTAATTTCGCTTATTCAAAATTTTTAAATATATAAAATTAAATAAAATAATTATTACTACATAATATGTATGAGAAAATCAACAGAAAAATTCTCAAACTAGCTTCAAGTTGGGATGAAACCAAATTAACCCACAAACAATGTTAGAATGGCAAGTAGTTTCCCTTAATTCTTGCCACTCGTCAAGCTTTGCTGCAAGGAACTTGTTTCTCAATGGAGGAAATCTAACCAACCGACCAACAATTTTGCTTGCATTATCGAATTTCTTCTTCAAAGCTTTTATGTTTTTCGGGCAGCATGCACATGGTTGATGTTCGAGACGACAGTAGTTTCGCTGTAACCACACCACCCCCCCGCGGCCCGGGGAATTTGGAACGAGATTGATTTTTGTAAGGAAAATGACATGTTACAAACCGAGGTTTTGTACGTGGCCCCATGAATTAGTAGTATGGGTTGGGCCATTTTTTGATGTTACACTAAGATTACTTAAGCTATTTTCTTACTAATTAATTTATACAAATTTAATATTATTAAACATAACCGACAAATTAATGCAGTAAAAATCATTACAAATCAACGTTAAAATTAATAAATTTAGAGTTTTCTTTTTTAATTTTTTGAGTTCCGTTGCTTGAAATGCATATAATTTTAACCTTTAAAGCAAAGCGTGGAAAACAAGTCTAGTAGATTTCCCTTCAGTAGCCTACTTGCCTTTGACAAAAAAATTGGTGGTGAGGATCGAATTGCTTGTTTCGTAAGTTGAAATATTCTAGAAATTCATTTTAGTCTTTTCCCAAATTATAAATGTTTCGTGACTGTAACGAATATTATGGCAATCAATCAGCCAAACTCTCATCTTTTCCTTGTCCTCTCAATTAAATGTTACTCTAACTTAAAAACTTACATACACAAATATATTTTCACTAACATTATAATAAATTTTTATTTTAATTATACGTTTTAAGTAACATTTTTTAATGTAATTAAATTTAAAAAATTACAACTATTTATACTTTTAATCATTTGTTTCACATTTAATAGCAATATCACAAGTGTAATTTTTATTAGTATATGTCATTTTTTATAATTATAACTTGTTCATGATATTGTTAAAATTCTATATAGTGCAATCGAATTTACAAAAATATTGTTAAAAAAATACAAAAAGTACTATTAAAAATATCTTTAATAGTACATTTAAAAAATGTATAGTTTTAAGTCAAAATTAAAAGAGAGAGAGAGAGAGAGAGAGTAAAATATTGTATAAATTACTTCATTATTATACCAAAAAGAAATATATATTTATAGCTAACAACACGAATAATCTAAATTCTCCTTGACATAATTGAAAAAAAAAAGGTTAATGACTAAATTAGGGGGTAATGCAATATGGCCTAACAGTCAATGTACATGATTGTGACATGTACAAATATAAACTACTATTAAATATATATTCATTCAAATGTTGATAGTTTTATTTTCTCTATCAATTTCACAACAAGCTCGAGTTGACTTCTATTAAATAGAAAACAACTTCACATGTGATAAAAGAAAAATTATTGACGACAAAAAAAAGTAATAAATCCAACACTTTTCCCATATTTTCTATCTTCATCCTTCCCTATTCATAAAATCCAAATTGTCATAATGAGTCACAATAATTAAGACATAAGTCCAAAAAATTGGGGGTCCAATTGCGCTCCACATACCATAGTGCATTAATTAAGTTCACTTTTATGATAAACTTTCAAAAAAAAAGTTCACTTTTATAATAAAAACATTTATTATTTTATATACCAATAAACGAAATTTTTAAATTTCGCCATTAATTTATATATATAATTTTAGTAATCATAATTATTGATTAATTTTTCCAATTACAATTTAGGAAATTTAAATTATTTAACTCGATTTGTAAGATAATAGCATTTTTTGAACTTAAAAAATGTTATACACTGACACCGGCGTCCCCTGATCCATACTTCCCCGACAAATCCGTCATGTTTGCCACGTGGAACAAACTACGACGTTGATGATATCTTCATGTTTGACCGAATTATTGAAAGGGGGATCGCGATAGTGACACGTGTTAATAAATACGTGACAATCTCTTTTTCGGGACACGTGGAGCGTTTTGGATGCGTATAGGAAGAAGGAGCGGTGTGGTAAGCTTATCCACTCCAATTTTAAGCAGTTGTCAATCATAAAACGAATAAAGTGAAATTACGGCCCACTTCTTGGGTTGGGCCCACTTTAAAAATTAGGCAAACCCATTAATAATGTGATAGGGAGAGGTCGTTTTGTCATGGATGTGGACTGGGAAGACAACAACGCCGTTTGATAAACGACGTCGTTTTTCTTTTTCTTTTTCACTTTTTTTTCTCTTCTTGTTCGGAACCCTACCACAAGTGGATACAAACTTTCTCGTGTTGGAACTTGGAAGGAACAAATCTTTGGGAGATTTGGCCCTTAAAAAAATTGTGGGTCAGCATTGATCTCCCGACGCACAAATGCAAGACTCTCAGTACCAACAATGTGCTTATATTTTGTCGGCATCGATTGAATGCTCTTTTGTTTCCTAGCACTTGGATGCTAATCGCAAGATTTATATTTGCATTACCAGACATTCCAAATCTCCATTTTGTAATCTCTAAGCATGTTGGAAATATAGAATTATATCCTAATTAAACTTAGTTAGTGTCGTGTATTGGCTAAGCAAGATGGCGAGAGGGGGGAAAAACCACCCAAATCGATATCTGCCAGAAGCCCCACGACTGATGGAAACACATCGACTCCGGACTTGGAAGGCTGCAGCAATTTTGGACTGCCATGTGATACCGTCAATGTCCGCACGGGCAATTGGTTGAGGCTGTGTCCCACTTCAATATATGCTATAACTCTTAAATAATTGATCAAATTAATGCTAACGTGGAACAAAATTTCAGTACTTTGAAAACAATGACGAGTACCGTGATCAACATATAACATTAATATAGCTGTTTTATATACAATTATGATAAGATTAAATTATTAAAAGATACTGCTAAAATATCCATGTGTGTGAACGTTAGCAACAATGTGCTGGCTTGTAATTTATTTCCAATCCAAGAATCAATTATTCAATAGAAACTATACACTATAAATAAAATATGCTCCTTATATTTCGACTAACATTCTTCGGCAGTCATGTTTTGTTACATTTTAGTTTCGGTTTGGTCTCGGTAGTAGCGCCGCTGTCTCCTCGTCAAATCTGATGCTTCTTAAGCCGAACATAAAGGCACCCCCTTGTTTAATTCATCTACCATTATCCTGATAAACGAAAGACCAGCATCAACATGTCCCAATGCTCTCAAGTCAACCAGCACAATAACCCTAGCATTGGCATCAAGGAGACTTTACAATAGATTTGTTATAATGCGTGGCAATCCCATCAAATGTGTTCATAATCTAAAGCATTTTCCAAAGGTTAATCCATTCAACCCATGATGCACCAAAGAAATGATAATGGAGCTCCTGGGTCTGTACGCAAGCATGAAATTATCCTTTATGGGATGGCTGAAGGGCATTAGGATTGTAAAGATTACCAAATGGAATATGAGAATTGACTGAAAATAAAGAACCACTTTGTTCCGGCCATCTAGACTGCCACATGAGTAAACTCCAGTAAACCAGAGATTAAAATTTAGGAATTACAAAAACCTACATCAATGGAGCAAAGGAAACATCCTTTTATCAAAAAGCTCCATACCTTTTCATGCAATTCAATCCTAGTTCCATCGAATCTTGGTGGTTGACTGCACCAGAATGAGAGGCTCTGAGGCAGAAACATACTCCATGTCCAAGTTTGTCCACAATCTACTTGATGGTGATATAACGATTTGTCCCATGTCTAGCCCAGTAGTTCTTGAGATCCAATGGTATTGAAAGATCTTGGCCTTCAGCAGCCAGCCGACTAAGCAACTTTGTGAAGACACTACCACTCATCTTCCGGCCACCCACTCGGGCATGACGCTTGTTTGGCATCTGTGGTAATGGGTATGATGACATGGTGGTGGTGCAACAAGACGACTGCCACCCACCATTTCCCCACTTGTAGCACTGTCGGGGAACTCCTGTGCAGGAGCAAACTGGCACAGGCATTGTTGTTTCATCAAAGTTGACCATGTTCAACCCGATATCCTGACCATTCCACTCAGATTTACACTTCTTCACCTCAGTACCAGCTTGCCTGTTTAAATCCTCAGCCACTTTCTTCACCTTTCGTGCTGACTTTGAGGAAACAGCTTTATTCTCCTTTGTCCGCTTTACAGGGCGAGACTTGCCTTCTTCACAAGCAATGGTAGATACTGGGAGGGCATCAGTAACATGCATTTCACCGTTGAGAGTTTCACCCACATCAGTTGAATGGTATGTGGGGTGCATGCGTTTTCCTCCACGCTGAATACCACTACCCAAAGGGAAGTTCATGGCATTTTCACGATACTGTAACACAGCTAAAGCATTATCTCTATCCATTAAAGCACTATCCCGCTCAGCAAGTGCTTTGTCCCGCTGCTGGAGGGCCTCATCTCTAGCAGCCAGGGCTTCCTTCTTCTCAGAAATTGCAATGTTCCGTTCTCGAATAGCAGCATCCCTCTCAGCAAGTATGGACATGATTTTCTTATTCATGACCAAGGCATTATTTTGTTCCTTCATGTGATGTTGTGGCATCATGTTCCACTGCATGTATCATTTGCATCCTACTTAGCTAAATCAACTATTGAACTATTACATAAAGACTAAAGCAACATGGTTCAGTGGAGAGATGTTAGCTTTCTTCTTACCGGAGTGTGTGCCCCTTTGTAGTAATCCAGCTTATATCTCCCACTTTCTTGTTGTCCAGCACCATCCATCTAATACCAACTCTTTTTTAATTGAACTAAAATCTGTTCACAAGCCAACCCACTCCTCAAACGTTAATGTGAACACAAAAGTCAATGAGTTTCAGGAATGTACAGCATGCTATCTGTTTATACAATGAAAAGTCCAAGGTTCAATTTCAAGTAATTTGCAAAGCAACTAGCAATGAGGTATAGAGAATTCCCCTCCAAATCTTAGTAAGCAAAAGACTAGATCACCAGAAATGTGCAACCACATGGCAATAGAGAGTAAACTAAACAACCCACTATTCCAAAAGTCGGCAATTCAGAGAAGGACAAATAAACCACTATGACGAATAACAAAGAAAATAACCAAAAATCAGACAGAAAGTATAGACTTTTAGCTGTCAAAGAGAATCTGTACATGTTACAACCACAAGACCAGAACCAAAAAAGGAAAATGAAAACGTAAGACTTCGGTTTTATGGTCATATCACCAACACCCAGTGAAATAAGGTATCTCCCTGACAAGAGTACAAACTTATTAGTGAACATAGAATAAATTTTTTGATAACTAAATATCTTCAATATATCAAAGTTAATACCAAAGCAATTTTATACAATATTAAGATCTTCCTCGTTCAATTAACAACTCTTCTCCAAATACTTTGAAAATCAGGCAAAAAGCCACACTGAGAACAGGTGCTCAGTTAGAAGTTTAAATTGTAGAGGCATCACTCTTCAGAAAAAAAAAAAAACCAGCAACTCCAAGTAAAGGGTATGCATATTTGGAAAAGAATGCTTAACCTTACCGATCAAAAACAAACACTCAAGCCCAGGAGCCTCAAGCATATAAGAGTTACAACTAATTAAGCCTATTAAGAAAATACTTGTAATAAATGGGACAATGGAATCTTCATCGTAAAGTACTCAATGCATGCTAAGTAGTTAATAATAAGGCAAGCAGCCTAATAAGGCACGACGACATCCAGTGGTTGATGAACATCCAGGCTGCAAAAAATGGTAAGAAGGTATCCACTACGAATGCAGTCAAGCAACTTTCTACTACTTACTAACACTTGTGTTGGTTAGTTCACAAATAAGGAAAAATATTAAATAAAGGCACTGAAAAATCCCATGAGCTTCATGAAAGTTATAACTGCAAAACCTGACACAATCTATGCGAATTTGAACTCAAATTTAATTCAGAAGCAAATCATTTTAAGTTTCAGAGGTATCTCTCTTAGCACATAACCTAAGTTCCAGATTAAATCAAATGATAGGCACACAAACTTTAAAAAAAATCTTCTCGAATATTTACTATCCCCATGCAATGAACAACGCAACTTCCTAGTTTCCCAAACTTATTTTAACGAAAAACAAAGAAGAAAGATTCTGTCTTTATCTTTCTTTCTTCTTTCTATTAACAGATCAGCTTCATACACTTCAAAAGAAATCCAACAATTTTTTTTTTTTAAAATAAAAAACTTGAGTCCAACATATATGCATGTATGTAAGCAAGCCCTAATTAAGCACATTCCTTAAGCCGAGTTGATTAGCAAGCATGATATCGAAAAAAAACTTAAAATATTTAGCTAAAACGATCCTTGGACTAATTAATAAGCTGTAGATATAAACAAAATAAAGAGGTAAGTGAATGAGAAAATGTTAAAAAAAAAAGGAAAAAAAAAAAGCAAATGTTCGACTCAGGTGAGTTCCAATTTTCAGTAAAGTTAGGGTTTTTTACCATCATCGAAAGTCTTCCTTTTTGTAGATAAAAATGAAAGACTGAGCATAAACCTAAAAAATGCTCGACACATAAAGATAGACAAAGAAATTGGGAGATCTTCAACAAAAACAATGGAAGATTAAAAAAAAAACTTACTTTTTTTGTTCTTTTACTGAGTAATGGAGCAATGATTCGAAGATGCCTGAAATTTCGGTCTGAAAACGGAAACCAAAGAGGAGTTCGATCGCCAGAGACGAAATAAAATGATTGTCGAAAGTGTTGATATATAGTTTTTTCTCTTCCCGCCATAAACGACGGCGTTCTAGCACTAGCCAGTTGAAGGACTAAAACGTAGTCGTTTTCGCGTTTTATTTTCACTCTTCCCTCCTTTTACTAATACACATTTAATGAAGAAAAAGAATTAAAGCAAGAGGAATCTAGTTTGTCCTAAACGTAGCGTTTTAGATCCGGTAGGCGGCGGGGGGGGCCATACCCTGCCACGGCCCTCGGGAACCTTGGCACACTCTAGCACGTCTTGAATCTCTTTCGCTTCACGTCTCAAACGCTTTACCCAGCCGCGCTTTTTCCATTCATGTTTCACTTCTCTTCATCGATGACAATGTCGTTTTCTTGTTTCATCTCTTAAAGCTTTATTTTTTTTGTCCTGGGTTTTTAGCAAAACATGGAGCTTGGTCTTGTTACATTGCTGAGAACCGCTTGGATTGCAGTTACTCTGCCCATTGTTATAGCTTCAATAGCCAGTTCTAAGCTGAGTTCATTCCATCAACTTGTTTCGAAGTTTGCAAAGAGAGGGAAAACCATGCAACCACGTTCTTGTGTGAGTTTTTTAATTAGAAAACTTCTGTCTTTGCCATTGTCTATGTTTTTTTTTTTTGTTTGTTTAAATTCATAATTTCTTATCTGGAAAAGAGGAAGGCGAAGTTATGCATTGTCTGAATTGTGTGTGTTCTATGATGAGTTTTCTTTTTTAGTTAATGTGAGGTTCAGGAAATTAACTACTGCAGTTATGTTGGGTTCAGTTAAAGTGTTAACTGCCGTTATGACAAGTTGAGAAATTTTGATGATTGATGTTTCTCTTTTCATGTTTCTGGTTTGAGTGAAGGTTTGGTAATTCTGTAAATGAATATCATTGTTGTAGAATTTTACTCTTATATTTCTGTTGAATGAGACCATCATTTTCTTGCACTGAAAATGTTCAACTACCTAGCAAATGAATAAGCTGGTATACCCTTACTCTCGTTTAAAAGGTGATCAAGAGTAGTTCCGCTTCTTTCGCGGTTCCACTATAGTTTTTTAAAAATTACTCATAATGGGCTGAGGCTGACTGTAATTTACCACGAGGTTAATGGATACACATGGGGTTTCAAGTCTGCTTTGACAAGCATCTCATGCAACTGAACCTTCCTCCAATGCAAGTCCTGAATGTTATTTGACTTGAATGAAAATGTGCCTTTCCTATTGTGCTTTATATAACTGCACGTTGCAGTTATCATTAAGCACCATTTTTAAGAAGTTTAGGATAGAAACTGTTCAATTACTCCTCTTTTATCATTTTCTCTTTCATAATATTCTTCTCTTTGGGATTGTAGAGGCATCTTTTCTTGTTGATACTATTTGACCTGACTAACTAACTTACTTTGTTTTACCCTTGGATTGCAGAAATTCACTGTTCCTGATAGATTCTTCTCTCAAGTCTACATAGTGGCTGTTGTGTGGACAACCATTTTACTCCTTACAACATGGTTGTATGCATATAAGATGGCACCACTGACCTCCGAGTCATTTCATATTTTACATCTTGCTAGCCACTTGATGGGAGGTTCTCATATCTTTTCATTTCATAAATCTCATTTGACAGCACTTGAGCACAGATACAGAATCTGGCGAACTGTGCTTCTGCTTTTGTTAATGGAAGCTCAAGTCTTGAGTCGCCTTTTTGAGACATTTAATGTATCTAACTATACCCCTTCAGCTCGAATGCACATATTTGGCTATCTAACTGGCTTGTTGTGAGTTTCTTAAACATCTTCTAGTATATGGCTCTCTTCTAAATAACTAGGGTAGTCTTTGTTGATACTTGAAAACGTTTGATGGCTATTTTCTTTTCATTTGTGAATGTATCCAACTATATTCATCTTAATTTACTAAATAAAGTGTCAAAATATTAATGCTGCTCCTTTTGACTTTTATTTACGTAATGAGAATGCTTTAGATAATGATCTGTTGTTTTTTTCCTTCCCAAACAATTCTTCCATGGTTAGTTACTACATAGCAGCACCACTGTCACTTTGCTGCACTCTTGCGCCAAAGGTGTTCAAATTTACTCTGAACCTGGTGGCCGAATTCATTGTTAAAGGAAAGAATCAGATGCCAGCTACTGAAATTGATTGGTGTGGATCTGTAAATCCTCTCATGAAGCTTGGATGGCGCCAGTGGATTGGTAGTGCTATATTTCTTTGGGGTTGGATTCATCAGTGCCATTGTCATGCAAGTCTAGTAAGTAACACTGTTTCATGGACTTGATTTGTTGTTGTTTCAAAGTTATCTATGCAATGAAAATAACAATTTAACAGATGCTAAAACAAAAAAAAAAATTGCACTTGTTTACAGTTCTATTTAAAACAAGAAGTTTTGGTATTACTTCCACAAGGTGTTGCGGAAGTCCATGTTTATGTATCTATTAAAATTCCATGTATTTGGATAGGGGATGGAATTGGTACTTTGTTGATTGAAGAGGTTTAGGGAGGGGCACTTGAATTGATTGTTTGCTTAAAGGGTCATTTTGAAGTTCCTCTGCTTCTCTTACCTTCCCATTAGCTGACGGTGTTGAATCTTCATTAGGGTTCACTGCAGGCACATGCAGAACAAGTTGATGACTACGTAATTCCTACCGGAGATTGGTTTGAAATTGTTTCATCTCCACACTATTTAGATGAGATTGTAAGATCTCTCTCTTTCTCCATCTATCCTTTCTGCTTACTGGACATTTTAGTGAATTCTTAGTGATATAGAGAAAATCTTATCAGCTTGTATTTCTAATGACTGCATTGTTTTGTTTACTTATCCCTAATGATGAAGGTCATATATGCTGGTATGGTTGTTGCTAGCGGAGGAGGAGATCTGACTGTTTGGCTACTCTTTGTATTTGTGGTATTTTTTTTTTCTCTAGCACAATAAAATCTCCCATCTTTTCTGTACTGTACGCATGAACTGAAATGTTGTATTGAGTTCTGGCAGGTGGCAAATTTGGGGTTTGCAGCAGCCGAAACGCATAAGTCGTACCTTAGCAAATTTGAAAATTACCCAAGAAATCGATTTGCCAGTATACCATTCCTCTACTAATGTTTATAACTCCTTGTACTAATTTTTAATATCGTGTGCTTGGCTGTGATTTCATGTGGCGGTTGAGCAACAAAGTTGCAAGTTTCAGTATGTTAGGAGGAGGCATGCTCGGATGTATGTGAGCATAAACTGATGATGTTTTAGAATCACTGAATGAATAATAATGGTATAATGTTAAAGTGTTATTTCCAGTGCATGGATCACTTGAAATAAATTGTTTTCACCATACCATGAAAACATGATTGAATGAATGCTGTACCAGCAGGAAGTCCTACAATCGAAGGCTGTATGTCATGGCTAGAAATGGCCAAGTTGCTTACACTATTGTTGAAAAAGTATACTGTGGGAGTATTCAAGCTTGTTGTACGAAAACAATACCGTTTCTGATCCGGGCAAGCGCAAAGCGCCCAAGGCAGAATAGCAGACATGGCAAGTCTTTACGACTCAATGCTGACGCTGCTTTTATTCACGAGTCAGAGGCCATCAGTTCTCCTCATTAACAATGCTTCAAAGTTCAGGCATTCTTTAAAACTCGGTTAAACTCATCTATGATCCAGCGCTTTTTTTATATCAAACAAAAAAACTATTACATCTTGCCTTTGATCAGGGGTTTCGTTTTTGGTGAAAATTGGGGTTGGGCTTGTTGCATGGCTGAGAGCCACTTGGGTTGCAGTGATTCTGCCTATTATCTCAGCTTCAGTACCCAGTTCCAAGCTGAGTTCATTTCATGAACTTATTTTGGGGTTTGCACAAAGAGGGAAGATCAGGCAACCATCTTCTTTTGTGAGTGTTTTTTAAGTCTTTGATGCGGAGTTGTTGCTGTCTTCGTTTAGATCCATTGTTTTCTTGAGGAAAAAGGAAAGCGAAGCTATGCCTTTTTGGATTTCAATGTCTTTTAAATTAAGTGTAAATTTTTTCCTTTATGATGTTAGCAACTTGAGTGAAGGTTAATTTCAGGCTCCGTTCCGGAGAGACGCGAAGCCGAAATTTAAGCCAGTTTGCCAAGATTGGAAACTGAGTACCATTGTCTCCAATTCTTTTAAATCAGTACCATTACTTCAGTATGTTTGGAAATGAATTTGTTGCAGCCTTGAAGGATTTGCGTTTTGGTATTTCTGTTTAATTAGACCATTGTTTCCGCCATAGTTTTGTCAAGACCCAAGATTACTCTGAGCTTGAGCTTGAGCTCTCTGTAGCTTGCAGTGAAATTAATGAATCAGAATAGATTTGGCTTTTCGAATCTGCTTTGACACAATACTCAACTTTCCTTGACTGCAAATCCAAAAATGTTCCTCGGAGATTCTTCTCCCATTTCTACGTGGTGGCTTCCATCTGGACGACCCTTTTGCTGCTCACAGCATGGCTATATGCATACGCAATGGCTCCAATGAATTCTGGCCCATCTCATTTTTCACATCTTGCTAGCCACAGCCACTTAACAGGGGGTTCACATATCTTTTCTTTGCATGAATCTCATTCGACACTAGTTGAGCAATACAGGGTCTGGCGAATCGTTTTCGTACTTATGTTAATGGAAGCTCAAATCTCAAACCATTCTTCCATGTTTATTTACCGCATAGCAGCACCACTGTCACTCTGCTGCAATTGTACGCCGGTGGTGTTTAGATTTACAATGAACCCTGGTGTCCAAATTCATCATTGAAGCGAAGAATCAGATGACAGCCATTGAAATAGATTGGACGGCGACAGTGGATTGGTGGTGCTCTATTTCAATGACTTTGTCATGCAATCCTAGTAAGTCACCGAACTTGATGTGTTGTCGTCGCAAAGGCGTTGCGGAAGTCCATGTTTATGTATCTATTATAGTTCCATGTATTCGGATAGGGGATGGAATTAGTACTTTGCTTGTTGATCAGGTTTAGGCAGATGGCAACTGAATTATGATTGTTTGCTTAAATGGTCATTTTGATGCTCCCCTACTTCTCTCACCTTCCCATTGGCTGACATGTTCAAATCTTCAATAGGGTTCACTGTGGGGCGTGGGCACATGCTGAACAAGTCGATGACTGTAATTCCTACCGCAGATTGGTTGGAAACTGTTTCATCTCCACACTATTTGGCTGAGATTGTAAGATCTCTCTTTCTCCATCTATCCCGTCTACTTACTGCAGGTGGCAAATCTGGGATTTGCAGCAGCTGAAACGCATGAGTGATTTCTTCACAACTTTGAAAATTGGTTAAATTACCCAAAAAATCGATGTGCTATTATCCCATTCATCTTTTAAGGTTTAGAAGCACTAATTATATAATGCATTGTACACTTGACTGTAATTTCCTTAAGGTGTTTGAGTACCTAAAGTAATTGTTTAAGTATCAGCATGTTAGGAGGACTACATGAAATGTGGGGTTTTATTTACAAACTGATGTACTTTGGCATCATTGAACTAATTTATGCCAGTTCGATGTCCCATGTAATGAACGATATGCAAATATACTATTTTCTAGAGAGAAAAAGATGAAAACAAAAAAAAGAAAAGAAAGAATGAAATACTAGAGGAAAAGATGTCTATCTGTCACACCTCACACCCAAAACTTAATCTGTAGTTTAAGAAACGAACATCTTAACATATACCCAAGTAACAATTTATTCCAAGTTAAATTTCTTAATGTATCAACTTATTCAAAGTAAAAACATTTTGCTAAAAGTATATGTTCATACATTCATAAGGATTTATACATCCTTCTCACATACTAACAAAAGTTTAATCGTCAAAATCATGAGAGCTATTCTAAAATACCAAGGAAAACCCTTTTTCAATCAAATATTACTTTCTTGCAAACTCTTGTGGAACACAAACTTGCATCCAAACCAATCCTAAGTTTAATCTAAAAAAAACCAAAATATAGTGAGTCGTAAAGCCTAGCAAGTGGCGTAACTCTAGTTAAGGAAATGACAACCAAATACCACGAGCTAAAGCAAAAGAGACCGAATTGGGGCATTTTCAAGTACTCTAGAATATGGTATTTTAAAGGTTCTAAACAAGTCTTATTGAATGATTCAAAGAGTAACTATAAAGAACAGAGCTCTTAACTAATGAACTCAGAATTTTAAAATTGGTATAGGATGCAAAATATATAAATATTTCAAATATCAATAATCTTCAGAATAAATGCTAAATTAGTTCATATTTTCAGAATTTCAAAAACAGATCTCAAAGTATTTTCTTAGTCATATACAAGTTCCAATACCAGTTCAGAGAAAGAAGAATTTTTGGCACTGGTGAATCTTCTCAAATTCTGAGAATTATATAAATTACTAGAAGTTTTCCAATGCAGTTTTGAGTCAAATGGATTTTTCACTCTTATTCTTCATAGAACACAAGGAAAGCCGCCACAAACAGAATACCTGGCACGCTTTAAGCATACAGATCTATGCCCCAAAACCTGGCAGGTTGATTGGTTCGATATTTCCTGTCAACGGTTTTAATTAGGTCCATGTCTTCTTTGGCCAGCTCAAAGTCAAAAACCTGGAAATTCTTTTGCAATCTCTCAAATTTTGATGTCTTCGGGATGACAGCTGTGTTTCGCTGAATTCCCCACCGGAGAACAATCTGAGCCACAGTTTTCTTATACTTTTCAGCCAGCCCCTGAAATCAAAGTGTATTGATAAACAATAAATTAGGGAACAAGTGCAGCAATTAAGTGTCTAGTAGTAATAACAGCTGAAAATTAAAGTACAGAAGGATTGCATACTTTAAGGATTGGATCATCCAAGCATGACACTGTACCAAACCATTCCGCGTTAGCTGCAGCTCCTCCTAAGGAAGTATGGGCAGTAACACAGATCCCATGCTTCTGACAAAATTTGACAAGACAATCGCGTTGGAAGTAGGGGTGTGTCTCAATCTGATTTACAGCAGGCTTCACTTTGGAGTAAGCTAGGCAATCTCTGGTTAAAAAGATGTCATAGTTGCTGCCAAATTTACAAATTATGTATTAGATGTAATTCCAAATTTACAAGATTTGTGAGAATACCAAATGAAAGGACAAAAACTTGACACCTGATTCCAATGCTACGAACTAAACCCTTGGAAACCAGATCTTCCATAGCATGCCAGGTCGTCTCCAATGATATAGTTGTGTCTATGTCAAGGACTCCATCCTCATCCAAGGGACTGCCAGTTTCACCAATTCCTGCATACATATAGAATACAGCAAAATCAGAGAGTGTGTAGCTTCCAAGTTCTTCTAACTAGTTTCCACCTTAGGCATCCCATCATCTATCTGTTATTAGTTTGCATTGTTATCAAAAGAATGAAGCTAACAATTCTTTAAAATGAATTCACCAACCCCTCAATAAATAAATTCAAGCTATTTCTCTAGAAATATTAGCTAAGGATGCAGTCAACATCACAGTTTTCACCATGGACAGCACCAAGTTAAGCATAGTACATAGCAATCCAAATATAACTTTCATGCTTTCGTATCAAGCTCATCTTCTTAATTCTCAAGGTTAACAGAAGTTAAACATAAAATTGTACAATGAAGAAAGTACCCAATGTAAGGAATACATATAAACAATAAGAAAAAGCAGTCAGGAATCACCAGTGTGCTTTATGGCAACTGGAAAGTGAACTAGATACAAATCCAGATAATCCAACTGAAGCTTCTTAAGACTGTCTTTACAAGCCTCAAGAACATACCCATGATCAGTATTCCAAAGCTGCAATCAGACCAGATGAAATAAGAAATACATAGTACTAAAGTATAAGAAAGAAAAGTAAAACATTCAATTAAACCAGCCTTAGTTGTAATAAAGAGGTCCTCTCTCTTAACAAGCCCAGTTCTGAATGCTTCCGACAGTGCCTCCCCAACTTCTGCTTCATTCCTGTAGTCAGCTGCAAAACAACATGCATGTATCACGATAACATGAACACGATGTATATGCCACCAGGCACCAACAAAACGCGACAACACTATCAAATCAAATAAGGTGTGTAGTAAAGACTAAATTTCCTCTAGCCCTCTTCCAATTTCTCCTAAATACATCTATGAGAGTAAAGTACTTAGGAACTCCTCCTTACATATTACAGAATGGTCGATCTAGACAAGGATACAGGACAATGGTCATAAAGTTGAAATTCTGTATAAACGTATCACAAATTTAAAAACAATTTCAACCAAGGACTTCAATCATGAATGATTTCCCAATTCTTAGTATAACTAAACAAAGAAACAGCTTTCCAGAAAACCATTTGATTTTCCAGAAAAATTCTTAAAATTTAATGTTCCATAATCATTTATGCTTATTGTGACTAATTTTTGTTCCAACACTTGAACGAAGAAAACGAAGAACTGCAGTCAAGAATTATATCCATATTTAAGTAAAATACAATAAAGAAACTCCCCCTAGGATCAAACAACATCTACAAGCTGAGCCACTTACTCAGATATAAATCAAAACAATAGTGTGATGAAGATAGCAAGATTTATCTAATTCTAATATGTGGATACAAAGAAGGAAAAATCCAGAGTACCAGCACAGTCAAAATGGCGATAACCAATCTGGATGGAGTTGATGATAAGGTCTCTAATGTCTTTTCCTTCCATACGCCAAACACCCAGACCAATTATTGGCATCTTGAATCCATTGTTCAATGTTATCGCCATTTCTTCGTTTGCGCTGTCAAAAAGATTAGTTGGCCACTCCTCCAATACTATGGTTGATTTTGTGGAGTAGCTATGACTTTGAAGTGAAATAATGGAACTGCAAGGAGATTATATTCTTGTTTGGTTGCGTCGGCCGTTTTTTACGCCTTTCTGATTGTTTCCATTTGAGGACGACAATCCTCAGCACATGATACAAGCTGATGTCGGATGATCAGAACCGTCTCTTGGCTTTTTCCTTTTTTTAAATTTTAGGTTTTGATTCCCATCCAAGCGTCCGTTTGTCTTTACCTTATGTTGTTTTATTGATCTATTTATTTTATTTATTATTTTTTTTCTTAAAATACAACAATTTATCTAAATCGGAGACTTTTATTGAATTAGTGTAATCTTTACCCATATCTATATAATTTCATCAAAAAATATTTGTTAAATACTTTTGATTATCTTTTGTATTAGACAAAGGAATAATTTTTTTTAATCCTCAAAAATAAGCTGTTTTGAAAATAACTCTCTTTTTATTTTTAACTGCATTTGGTAAAGAGAAATTTTTTTTTTGACAAAATTATTTTTAATGAAAACTCTTCATATTAAGTGTGAACAAAAAATATTATTTCAATTCTAAAAATTTATATTGTAGTGAAATACAAAAGTGTAAATTAAATGCCATATTTAATAATAAAAAAGAAAAACAAACACTTCAAATCTAAGTAAATGTTATATATCAAAACTTTGCAACAAACGTTACATACCAAGGTCAAACGATAAAGCTAAAGTTTTAACACAAAATGTTATATGTCAATATCAAAGCTTTAGCATTAAATATTACATGTTAAATTTTTTTTCTTCTAGTGTCATACATCAAGACATCAATCACTTTGTTACACATAAAGGTATATTCTACTAGAATTGAATTATTGAAAAATTAAACATTAATAAACTCAATAACCTATTGTTATTCACCATGTCATACTTTTTTATCTACAGATTAATGATGATATGACAAGATAGTGAGAGATAGACAGAGATAAGATTTTATGAATTTAAACTAATAAATATAAGAATATGTTATTACTTTTTATATTATATTTTTTTATTTGTAATAGGCTTATCAATAGGGCTATTTCTTATAATTTTCTCTTAAATAAGTTAAAACATTTTCGATCATAGCATAGAGTTAAATTTAATTTAAAACTCTATAAATAAATTTATATTATCAAACTTGTCATAACTTAATTATAGTAACAACTTAGGATTAATATTTGAAATTGCAGTGAGTTTAATTTTAACATATTGTATTAAAATAAATAAAATATTCACTAAGTAGATTCAAATTAATACAAATATAATTAAATATCTCCTCATATAGATTTAGATCTAGAATATATAAAGGAATGCTTTACAAATTCAAGGTGCATGTCAGAAACTGTTCGTTTTCCTTATGGATCTGTATAGCATGCCGAAGCTTGGCAAATAAAATTAAAGAAAAAGAAAATAAAAAGCGCCTGGATCAGAAATGGTCCCACTGAGCTAAGCTGGTCCAGTAAGAAAGCCCATTACCCGATGAAAACCGGAGTGATGAAGCCCGTTTGCGTATAAAAATTTGGTGGCTCATATTCTTCCACTTCTTTCTTCCTAACACTGTAATAGAAAAAACCAGAGAGAGATCAAAAACTCTCTCGAACACAACGCAAAGCG